GTTTAAACCCGCCATCCTCAGTATATGGGGCCAGTGCCCTACTCCTTGAGCCACAGGCGCCGCCCCCAACATAAAGATATTTTAATGTATTTCATCTCAGCCATGGTAGGGAATGTTGTCCCCTAGGGAAAGTGATGTAGAGAGCGAGGAAGTAACATAAAGTCCCAGGGAGCAAATGCAGGAACGAGAATTTTCGGAGGACTATATCCATTTGGTCAAAGTGGGTCAACCCAGAAAGGCGGAGGCATGGCAGATAAACACATAATGGGTGCTGAGGAGAGCTGCGGAGAAGTGATACATTATCCTTCCTCATGGACTTACAGTTCTGTGGTGGTGCCCAAGCCAGGGAAACTAACCAAGTGACACGGGCTGTGCTGAAGACCAAGCCAGGGAGCCACCCAGAGACAGTACTTCTTGTGTAGAGGTGTGATGTCAGGCCAGCAGAAGGGGATACTTGCAATTAAGACTCATGCAGGCCAGAGGAAGACCCTTAAGAGGCGGCTCTGACTGATAGAAATGCCATAGGTTTAGGCTCAGTGCCTGTAGCACAGTGGTTATGGCACCAGCCATATACACCAATGCTGATGGATTCGAAACCAGCCGGGGCCAGCTAAACAACAACAACTGCAACAAAAAAATAGCTGGGTGTTGTGGCAGATGCCTATAGTCCCAGCTACTTGGGAGGCTGAGGCAAGAGAATCACTTAAGCCCAGTAATTTGATGTTGCTGTGAGCTGAGATGCCACAGCACTCTACCGAGGGTGATATAATAAGACTCTGTCTCAAAAAAATAAAAGAAAAGCTATAGATTTGACCAGGTATGATGGCTCATACCTATAATCTTAGTACTCTGGGAAGCCAAGGATGGCTAATCTCTTGAGGTTCAAAGTTTGAGACCAACCTGAGCAAGAGATTCCTTCTCTACTAAAAATAGAAAAAAAACTAGCTGGGTGTTGTGGTGGGCATGTCTAGTCCCAGCTACTCAGGAGGCTGAGGCAGGAGGAACCTAGGAGTTTGAGGTTGCTTTGAGCAATGATGACCTCATTGCATGCTAGCCTGGGGCAACAGACTGAGATTTGGTCTCT